TCAGTTGAGCCAGGAATTGGAGATTTATAGTTAGCCTATGATGAGGCCACTGCACTGCATGCAGTGAGTGACGAAGAAAGATCTCTGTCTCCTGAAAACAACAATACTGCAATTCCCCCTTGTATTCAGTTATTTCTTTGTGTGGTAGCAGAGGTACTTGGTGTTTGTTTTAAAAATCAGTTAAGTACAACTCTTTATATATTTACCAGATTAATAAATTATATTTGCTATAAATATTATCTTCAGTTGTACTGATTCCATTAAATGTTTTTAACTTTTTTTTTTTGAGACACAGTCTCACTCTGTTGCCCCGGCTAGAGTGCCGTGGCGTCAGCCTAGCTCACAGCAACCTCAAACTCCTGGGCTCAAGCGATCCTCCTGCCTCAGCCTCCCGAGTAGCTGAGACTACAGGCATGCGCCACCATGCCTGGCTAATTTTTTCTTTTTTTTTTTTTTTTTTTTTTTTTTTGAGACAGAGTCTCGCTTTGTTGCCCAGGCTAGAGTGAGTGCCGTGCGGTCAGCCCTAGCTCCGCAACTCAAACTCCTGGGCTCAAGCATCCTTCTTGCCTCAGCCTCCCGGGTAGCCTGGGACTACAGGCATGCGCGCACCATGCCCGGCTAATTTTTTATCATGATATATCAGTTGGCCACATTAATTTCTTTCGTATTTTATAGTAGAGACGGGGGTCTCGCTCCTTGGCTCAGGCTGGTTTTGAACTCCTGACCTTGAGCAATCCGCCCGCCTCGGCCTCCTAAGAGCTATGGATCAAGGGCGTGAGCCAGCGCGCGACCGGCCTAATTTTTCATCAGTTGAGCCCAGGAATTGGAGATTATAGTTAGCTATGATGAGGCCACTGCACTGCAGCATGAGTGACAAGAAAGATTCTGTCTCTAGAAAACAAACAATAATGTTTGAAAGATTTAGGAAATATAGATATTTATGGAGTAAAACACAGGAGGCAGGAGAGGATGAGATTCAGAAAAAAATAAAATAGTTGGCCTTCAGTAAGAAGTGAGACAACTTCCTCCCGCACAAGTAGGCAGAGGAAGATGTACATTAGTAGAGGTTAAGTTGACAGGTGGAGGAAAGGCAAGTTATGAAACAAGGCCTATTTTCTTTGCTTATTTTTTCAAAGCAGGATCATCTGCTGAGAATGAAGGAGGTAAGGTAGAATAAGGGAAAAGTAAATTTAGCAGCCATGGAAAAAGGACCATGTAAAAGATTCCCAAGTTCCACTCTTTCTTACAGGCACACCCGTGGTCTTCCAACAAGGAATGTGAACTTTCGAACCTAGCTCAATGCAAAGTTGGCTGGCTGTCTCCTTGGACCTATGTCCTTCTGGTTCCTATTGCTCACCTTCAATCATCAACCACTGGTGAAGAAAAATTTAATTAGTATTAGCCACCTCAGTAATCACAGTATATTAATAAGAAAGAAAATACTGCATTTCCTTATTACATGAAAATAGCAAAAGCCGTTAACACCCAGAGAAGTCTTCTGTCATTCTCTACATAAACAAGTAGAACAGATCTAA